TTGTTAGTGAAGAGATTATCAGGAAGTGGTCCCAAGATGTATTTTAGACTAGAATCTTCAGGATACCAATCCTGAGATGGAAAATAGCAAATAGGAAGTTAATGAGGAGTATTTTGGGGGATGAAAACCTATGGAGGAGAAAGGAGTGAAATATAAATTAGTCACAGGGAGAAGTTTAGGTGAAATGCGGTTTCAATGATGTCCCTGATCAATCCCTGCAGGGAGCTCTGAGACTGTGAAGAACCTGAGAGTTTTCAGAGGTTGAGGCAGGGTATGGGCTCTTTATAGTCCCAGGACTGACCAGTCGTTGCATTTGCTCAATCCCATGATGGCGTATCATCTACATGTGCCTCTTTTTAACCCAGAAAATTCCTGAAGAGAAATTAGAGCTAAGTACTGTATGGTACAAATAATATTCTTGTAAAAGTATGAATTGAGGATATGAGAATAGAGACTGAGAAGTAGTTATATTATTTGCAAATATATTCTTATTTATTTTTATTATGTTTATTTATTTATTTATTTATTTATTTTTTGAGACAGAGTCTCACTCTGTCTCTCTGGCTGAAGTGCAGTGGCACAATCTCGGCTCACTGCAACCTCCATCTCCCAGGTTCAAGCGATTATCCTGCCTCAGCCTCTTGAATAGCTAGGACTACAGGCACCCACAACCACATCCAGCTAATTTTTTGTATTTTTAGTAAAGATAGCGTTTCACTGTATTAACCAGGATGGTCTCAAACTGCTGACCTTGTGACCTGTGCACCCTGGTCTCCCAAAATCCTGGAATTATAGGCATGAGCCACTGCAGCTGGCCCTGCACATATGTTCTATAGACAGCACACATATAACCTATGCACACACATACACTAGATAAATAAATTTTTCTAAATGTTCTGTGGAATATGATTTAGATATAGTGAAATGTACATAAATCTGTATTTATGTTTAGAGATTAATCTTGGGCAGGGATTGACAAACTTCAACCCTCTGTCCAGTAACAAGTTTTTGATAATGACACTTCATTACAACATGCCCACACACCTTCCGTTTACGTATTGTCTATGGCTGTTTCATACTACAATAGAAAATGGTAGTTTTCACAGAGGTAGTGTGGTCTACAAAGGCAAAAATATTTAGTATTTAACCTTTTACAGAAATTGTTTGCTGACCCTTGATCTAAGGTTTGTTGTTTTCAAATAACACCACTTCATGTGTAAAGTAAGATCACAGCATCATGTATTTCATGTTCAGACTCTTATCCTTTGTACTACTATAGTCTCATGTTTTACTTCCACATTTACTATAAGCCCTGTAATTCATCATTACTATTTTGTAAATACTCAATTATCTTTTAAATAAATTTTATAGGTACTTAACATTTTAAGCATTCATTTCTTCATGTAAATATGAGTTTTAAAATGCTAAAACTTCCTTAAAGTATAAAAATATACTCTTATTTTTATAGTATACACATAGGAGTGAAGAATTCTCCCAGCTTTTGTCTTAAATATTATGTTATTTATATATCTAACAGATGTTTTTGCTGGATATAGCATTTCAGGCTGCGAGCTTTTTTTGTCTTTCCTTTTCATCATGTTGGATAAGTTGTTCTGTTGTCGGGCTTGCATTATTGCTGCTAAGAAGCTGAAACCCTGTGAAAACCTTTAAGATTTTCTCTTTAGCATTATTTTTCAGCAGATAATTATAATTTGCCTTAGTGTATTTTCCCTTATGTCTATCTGGCCTGGAACCCAATCAACTTCTTCCGTATCTGGGTTTATGTATTTCAACCATTATTTCTTCAAACATAATTTATTCTGACCCAATCTCTGTCTTCTCTGCTTTTAGTACTCCACTTGCATGATTGATAGGTCAGTTATCAGTGTCTCACAACTTACTGGAATGCTGTTTATTTTTTAAACCTTGTTTTTCTTCTCTGAGCTTAATTTAGATTCCTTATATGGCCCTACATTTATGTGCTGTTAAATCCATCCATTAAATTATCTGCTTCACATGCAATTTTTAGTCCTAAAATTTCCATTGTGTTCTCTTTTGTTACTTTTCACCTTCGACACTTTGTATGCATTTCTCTAATGTTTATATGTTTTATTTAAATAACGGAATGAGTAACTACTGTTTTAAAGTCCTGGTCTGCTAATTTCATCATTTCTGTTATTTCGGGGGTACATTTCTATTGATCAATTTTTTTCCATCTGGTTCTAAGACATATTTTCCTGCTTGTCCAAATGTCTGGTATATTTTTCAATTTATATACTTGACATTATGGATGCAACATTGTTCAGTTTCTAAATGTTTATGACTTTCCTTATGAAGTGTTGAATTTTGTTCAAAATATTAATCTGTGGGTCAGATTTATCTTTTTCGGTAATGTTTGTTCAGATGTGTCCAGACTAGCCCTCAATCTAGGACTAAAATATTCCTACTTACAATGCATGATTTTTACGGGATGTCTACTAAATGCCTGGATGGATTCAACAAAGTCTCTCCATTTTGTCTAGTCTAAAATCATTTTTTCCCCACTCTGTGCAACATCTGGTTATTGTTTATTTCAGAACTCCCTTTACCTGGTGTTGTGCAGTCTTGATCTGAAAGTACACTGCACAGTACTGCTTCTGAGTCTAGATTCCAGAGACTCATTGATGACTCTCATGTAGATTTCCTAAGCTCTTTATACAGCTGTGCCCTCTCTGGGACTCTGTCTTGTGAATCCCAGCTTCTTCTGTAGCTTTGAATTCTTATCTGACTCCATTTCAGTGGGCACTGCTGCACTGCTGAACTCTGTTTGGGATCATCTTCCACGTGCCATGATCCAGAAAGTGAAGCTGGCAGAAAGCCAGAAATTTGGCAGGACTCACCTTGTTTGTTTATCTTCTTTTATGGGTCACGTTCTGTACTACCCATGGTCCAGTCCCTAAAACAGTACTTTATTTTTATTTTGAGATGGGGTCTCGCTCTCTCTGCCAGGCTGGAGTGCAGTGGTGTGGTCTTGGCTCACTGCAACCTCCGCCTTCTGGGTTCAAGTGATTCTCCTGCCTCAGCCTCCTGAGTAGCTGGGATTGCAGGCACCCACCATGATGCCCAGCTAATTTTTGTATTTGTAGTAGAGATGAGGTTTCAGCATGTTGGCCAGTCTGGTCTTGAACTCCTGGCCTTGTGATCCACCAGCCTCAGCCTCCCAAAGTTCTGGGATTACAGGCATGAGCCACGTGCTCAGCCAAACAGTTATTTAATATATATTTTAGTTTTGTAATTTTTTTTAGAAAGCTATTCTATCATAGTGTTAAGCAAAAATTGGCCATATAAACATTGTTAAATGAATGATGTATCTGTGATGATTTATCAAATGATCATTATTAAAGTCCTCATAGAATAAATTATTTTGCCAACCTTTAAATTTCTTATGTAAAAAATAGTACATACATTTTTATATACTGTACATTGGATAATCTATTCAATATTTTCCTGTCATTTATTCTCTTTAGTTGCTGAACTCACCTTAAAAATTACAGTGCCTCTTAGCACTAACATTATTTCAAATTTTCTTCAACTTAATTTGTGTACAACCCTAGTTATTTTAAATATTACTCTAAATTAAGAATAGTGCCATTTTTCTAACAAATGTTTTTACAAATTTACAAATCAGTTATTATATTTTGCCATAAAAGATTTAACTTTGTTTAGTATCTTTTTTTTTTTTATTGCATTTTAGGTTTTGGGGTACATGTGATGAACATGCAAGATTGTTGCATAGGTACACACATGGCAGTGTGCTTTGCTTCCTTCCGTCCCCTCACCTGTATCTGTCATTTCTCCCCATGCTATCTTTTCCCACCTTCCCACCCCCCCGCCCCTCCCCCATTTCCCCCCAACGGATCCCAGAATGTAGTGCTCCCCTCCCTGTGTCCATGTGTTCTCATTGTTCAACACCCACCTATGAGCGAGAATATACGGTGTTTGATTTTCTGCTCTTGTGTCAGTTTGCTGAGAATAATGGTTTCCAGGTTCATCCATGTCCCTACAAAGGACGTGAACTCATCGTTTTTGATGGCTGCATAATATTCCCAAGGGGCTGATATCCAGAATTTACAAAGAACTAAAGCAGATCTACAAGAAAAAAGCAAACAAGCCCATTCAAAAATGGGCAAAGGATATGAACAGATACTTTACAAAAGAAGACATACAGGAGGCCAACAAACATATGAAAAAATGCTCATCATCACTGGTCATCAGGAAAATGCAAATCAAAACCACATTGAGATACCATCTCACACCAGTTAGAATGGCGATCATTAAAAAATCGGGAAACAACAGATGCTGGAGAGGATGTGGAGAAATAGGAACACTTTAGTATCTTATTTTTTATAGAAATATGACTTTCAAGAGATATTGGCTGCATATCTTCTAAGTGTTAAATAAACATACTGCCTGATTTCCTATATACCTCCCTGTACCTCTCAGTTGTACAGGAAATTAATGTAAGATTTGGCTCATCCTGAGAATTGCAAATATTTTTTCTACTCAACTTCACAAGAAAAAATGTATTTTAGAACTATGTATAATTGCTTGTTTTTAATTTATAATTACTAAATGATAAGGCTTACATGAAGGAAAAGAAATTGGATAGTGTCATATATTTTTCTCATGATTTTAGCTGAAGAGTTTATGGTAAATTGATCAATCCTCAGCCAATTAGACTTTGACATGTACTAATAAGATCTAATTGAGGAATTATGAAGACATTTGCTCAGGAGAAAATGAACACATAATTACACCATAAAGAGGTTAAAGAATCAATGTTACCCAGCTAGAAGAATATTAGCTGAAGTCCCAATGGAATCTATAGGGGATACTCCATAATATATCTGTGAAATAGAGCACTGCCAAGGCCAATTAAGATACGCAGAATACTCCATTGTCAGTTGTACAACTTCAGATTTTAATATTCATTTTCCCATCTTGCCGCTGTCCATCTTCAGGTGCTGGGGGATGGTCTCCATCAGACAGTGACCATTATCAATGGCTTCAGGTTGACTTTGGCAATCGGAAGCAGATCAGTGCCATTGCAACCCAAGGAAGATACAGCAGCTCAGATTGGGTGACCCAATACCGGATGCTCTACAGCGACACAGGGAGAAACTGGAAACCCTATCATCAAGATGGGAATATCTGGGTAAGTCATGTACAGGAAAGCAATTGGGTTGGAAATATTAGAAAATGGCACAGGATTTACCAAGTATATATAGTTATCAATATTTATTAAAAATAATTGAGAAACTATTCATCTTTGTTGACAGTGAAAGTTTCTTTAGGCTTTAATTTCTATCCAATGGTTAAGGCAATGATTCTCAATCTGGACTATGAATGTGAATCACCTCAAGAAGTTTTAAAGGACATAGATGAAAGGCACACCCAGATCAATCAGACCAGAATCATATAAGTTGAAATAGTGATTAATGATACTAATAGCTTTTATAAAGATAGTAATCTGCAATTGAAGGAAAATATTGAAATCATGAAGAATATAATTTAGAGAAGTAGGAGCAGTGATAAATGTTAAGAAAAGAAATTGTCCATTTTATAATAGTGTCTTAAACTCTTATTACAGATCTATATTCACTTTATTACTTTATTATGGGAGAATAGAACAGACCTTAACTCATTTGTTCTTAAAACATCTCTATTAACTTAAAAAATTGTATGTGTTAAATCAAACATTCACCACATAATCATTTGAATAGATTATTTAACAGTAAAATTTAAGTGTTCTATTTTAGTTCAATTATTTTAAAAAGCAGCCATAACAAAAATCAAGTAATGTCATCAATATTAAACCAGAAGAATAAAAAGAAGAGGGAGATGAGGAAAAGGAAAGGCTGAAAGGGGAAAGGGAAAGAGAAGGAAGAGGAAATATTAAAATTATGTCCGTCACAGTATTAGGCAGAGTGCTGGGTATTTTCAACTTTATCATGAATCATTATTGTAAAAGTTACTTTAGACTTTATATTTTAAAAGTCTTTATATTTTTAAAGACCTTTATATTTATATTTTAAAATAAAAAGACTTTTAAAATAGACTTTATATTTTAAAAGTTCCCAAGTATTTTTGGTAAGGAGCAAGAGTTTATAATTTCTAGCTAAAGTGGATGTTCATTTCCAAAACGGTATGTGAAATACGGATATAATGTCCTGATAATAAAACATGTGTCTGCTTAAGTAGAAGTTTAGAAATAACTGCTTTCAAGTTACAATTATATAGAATGTTTGTATATTAGGATGTATGAGTTATACAAAGCAAGTAGTGGGAAAAATGCCTCCTTATAAAAAGTCTTCATCTCATAATTAAGATAATTCGAATGCTCAGGCATAATTTATAGAAAAGTTGTTATCAAGCCTGAATACACAGTGGAATTAGATAGAGAACTTTAGATAGGCCCTTGTGTCCCAACTACAGAGACTTGAATTTAGTTGGTCTAAGGTGCAATCTGGGCTTTGAGATTTTAAAGTTCCTCCCGTGATTCTAATGTACAGCCAACACTGAGAATATTATTTTAGATTGGTTTTCAGTCAGCAGGTAGGAAGGGATAGAGGAAGTTTATGCTGAAAAACAATAGTAGAACAGAAAATCTGAAAGTGTTGCCCTTAAAATTTGGCAGAGAGAGAGGGGAAGAGGGAGGAGGATGGGAGGATGGAGTTGGAGAAATCAGGTGACCAACGAGCCAAACAGCAGACTAATCAACTGAGAGTAAACAGTTAAGGCTTAGATCACAAACTCTTATAATAACCAAAGCAGTCATTATCCTCTAACTCTTTGTGGTTTCTAAACTAAGATCAAATTAGCATGTTGGTAAAATTATTTGAAGGGTTACAAGACAGACTCTGAAGTATCCTTCACATTTTTGTGTTTGTAACGTCTTCATCTCAGAATTAAGAGTGTTCAAATCCTCTCCTCTCATAATGTGCCAAGATAGTAATAAAGATGCTGCCAAAATACTTGAACTTTAATGTATCTATCAAATACTGAACAGTTAAGGGTGGCTAAATGCAGAGACATAAGGAAAAAAAAAAAAAAACTAAAGAGGATAAAATTGCTCAGGTTGTCTTGGACTTCTTGTTTTTGAGATTGAGTTTTGCTCTTGTTGCCGAGGCTGGAGTGCAATGGTACAATCTTGGCTCACTGTAACCTTCGCCTCCCAGGTTCAAGCAATCCTCCTGCCTCAGCCCCCCAAGTGGCTGGAAGTATAGGTGACCACCACCACGCCCAGCTAATTTTTGGTACTTTTAGTAGAGACGGGGTTTCACCAGATTGGCCAGACTGGTCTGGCACTCCTGACCTCAAGTGATCCACCGCCTGGGCCTCCCAAAGTGCTGGGATTATAGGCGTGAGCCACTGCACCCAGCCCTGGACTCCTGATATTACATGAAATACTCATGGTTGAGTCAGGGAGACAAGGCTGTCATGTAGTGAAAATAGAAGAACTTGTGACGGTATGTTGGGTCTACTTACAGGGCTCTCCATATTTTCTTAAGGTAATAAAGGGTGCATTTCTATTGTCTGCTACTTTTCTGGTGTTTATTTTGCTTTTTCCTTTCAAATAATATGTTTCTTATTAAAATTCAAGGTGCTGTGTAATGAGTGATGAGTGATGATTTCTGTAAGAAATTAGTAGTGAGCTAATTATAAAATGTTAAAAAATCAAAACAAGTTGGAGACTCTATTCGTCTGTTCTTGCACTGCCGTAAAGAAATCCCGGAGACTGAGTGATTTATAAAGAAAAGAGTTTTAATTGATTCATGGTTCCACAGGCTGTGTAGGAAGCATGACTGTGGAGGTCTCAAGAAACTTACAATCATGGCAGACAGTGAAGGGGAAGCAAGCAAGTCTTACATGGCTGGAGCAGGGGAAAGAGAGAGACGGGGTGTCCCACACTTTAAACAACCAAATCTCCTGAGAACTGATTTACTATCAGGAGAAGAGCAAGGGGAAAGTCTACCCCTATGATCCAATTACTTACTATCAGGCCACTCTTCCAACATTGGGGATTACAATTTGTCATGAGATTATGATTGGGACACAGACCCAAACCATATCAGAGATACAATCTAAATATTGGAAAATATATTTAAGTACTAATAAGCCTGTAACATAATGATTACATTATTTAATAATCTATTAAAGAAATGTTTTAATCCTTAGTAATGCCCCCAAAAAATGAGTCAATTGCTTTGATGCATTCTAAAAGAGAAAGTTCACTGACTTCCAAAAATTCTTGAATATTTTAGGGCTATGTATTATCATGCATTAAGTGATTAAAATTTAGCATTTACAAATTTCAACAAAAAGTACTCTTGGGGATTAAGTTTATTAAAAATGGTATTCAATACTAGAGTTCTAAAATCCACTACTACTTAACATTATGTATATTGGACTTGAAGAGAATTTTGATTTAGAGAATATTGGATGACTTTTGATGGAGAACACCTTATAAGATGTAATGTTTGGTGTAGTTTTGAAATTGTTTTACTATCTATTTTATAATAATTGTTTACCTGAGAAATATAGAAGATAATGTATATTCAATCCCAAGATTCTTATTTTAAACAAATGTTCATGGTTGTGATTTCTGTGATTGTTGTGGAAATGGGCAACATGAGTAATTTTTTATAATATTATTTTTAAATGTCCATATGGACATTCTGACTTATTTTATCACTATCGGGTAATATATTAAAATAAGCAAAGAACAAATCATTTATAAGCAAATTATGACAGTTTCACAACATTTTAAAGTCATGAATCTTGCATTATGGATTGAGGGTGGCTCTTGAAAGATTCTTAAAGAATGATTTATCTGAATATTTAATATTCAAAGATCTGAGTTCCTAAATATGTTTAACTAGTCAAACCTTCCATTCCTTTTTGATGATACGGAACATAATAGAATTCTTTATACTTTAACTACAATATAATTTCCTTCTATTTAGAACTTCTTTTCCAATGTAAAAGGTAAATAAAATTGCCCAAATAATAATTAAATCTACATATTCCACAAACTCTCCTTTGCATGATTACCATGAGGTGTTTTCAGGTTTCCTAAGTATAATCCATTAGAGAGAGAGGAAATATTCTATACAGCATTTTGTATCAAAAGTCCATTAAACATTACATTAAGTAAGAATTCCAACAGGCTTTTGCTAAGAGGCCATATTCAGTTTTGCTTGGGAAATTCAATTACTGGATTTCGAATGCAGATATTCAGAGCCAAAATAGAAAACTGGAGTAATAGCAGTGAACACTTTCTTTACAAACCACTATCATTTTGTAGGATAGTAATGTACTACAAATTTACCAGTCATATGAACACAGTTTTTGTTTTACTTTAAAAAAACTTCCTAATCATGAAAACATCCTTGTGTATTCTCGGTTATTTTTAAAAACAGTTTTTATCCCTGTTGTTAATTGTAAGTGGGTATTAGACTGAAATTCATTACCACTGCACCTATTAGATGGAGAATTCTACAGATCAGAACTGTTTTATTGTATTTAAATCACATGGTTAGATACTAATCAAGAATATAGGGATAACTAAGTTCATATTCTCTAAGAAATATTAAATAGATTGCTTATTTTCTTTTTCTTTCTTTTTTTTTTTTTTTTCTTGAGACAGAATTTTGCTCTTGTTACCCAGGCTGGAGTGCAATGGCACGATCTCGGCTCACCGCAACCTCTGCCTCCTGGGTTCAAGCAATTCTCCTGCCTCAGCCTCCTGAGTAGCTGGGATTACAGGCACGAGCCACCATGCCCAGCTAATTTTTTGTATTTTTAGTAGAGACGGGGTTTCACCATGTTGACCAGGATGGTCTCAATCTCTCGACCTCCTGATCCACCCGCCTCGGCCTCCCAAAGTGCTGGGATTACAGACTTGAGCCACCGCGCCCGGCTAGATTGCTTATTTTCAAAACCTAGATCTCTTTATCAATATATGCTTTTCCCGTGTATATATGCACATACATAAAGCTTCATTGTTTCAATAAATTTAAAACATTTCAAAAATATAGAAGGCAAATACAGCAGTTAGCAGATACATTTATAAAACATTTTGATTTTCTGAATATCAAGTCATAAGCTGGACTGTGTATTCTCTACTTTCTTTTTAATCAAATATTCCACCAA